GCTGCCTTTCAGGTCCAGAATTGAACCCACACCTGTGGCTTCCAGCCAAACAAAAGACAGGCATATGAGCTAAACATTTACACTAGGCAGATACCCTCCTTGGAGAGAGCAATCATGGGAGAAAGAAGGGCTGTGTATGCACAGGGAGACAGCTCAGGGGGCAGGAGTACACGGAGGGAAGGACACAGGGAAGAGGTAATTATGGAGAGGAAGTGGGAGGGGAGCTGTTGCATTGTGGGGGATCACAGTCAATATCTTGAGACAAAGTGTATGTGAGCTGTTGTGTGGAAGATGAAATTTGCTCTGGAAACTTTCACCCAAATTACAATAAAATTTAAAAAAATAAAAAGAAAAGTAGTCTCATCAAGTCTGCAAAGAAGCTAATTCCCAGGGCTACTCAGTATTGGCAATGATGGCTGAGCAGTTCTCACCCAGGAAGATTTCAGGCTCAACCTGAGCTCAAGTCATCCAGAGTGAATTGGCTCAGTGACCAAGAGAGGACTGGGGGTCCTGTCTGCAGTACAGCGACTGTCATGAGAGCCAGGGGCTGCCCTAAGGGCAAGAGGCCTCTAGACAGCCATGGCCCTGGGCATCGAGGCCATGTCTGTACCTTTCTCTCTCACTCCTCATCTACAAAAGGGGTTATGAGGTATGTGACATAAAGGGGTGTGAAGCACAGAAACTTCTCAGAACACTGCCTGCACGCAGAGCAGTGGGCCACCAGGGCACGTACAGCCAGGAAGGACCGACCTCCCGGTGCAGGGGGTGCTTCCAGAGCTCAGAGGAACTGAGGCAGCAGAGACCCCATGAGGACATGGAATGTGAAGAGCCAAACCGTGGCCTCGAGAGCACAGTACCAACAACTGCAGAATACACGCCAGCCAGCACAGGGACCCTGTCCATGGGAGTGCCATGGGAGGCACTTATGGACACAAAGTACTGGTGGGACCATGAATGGTCACAACCTTGTTGAAAAGTAACCGAGCAGTAGCTGTTAAATTAAAACACACACACACACACACACACACACACACACACAGAGCACCTACGCACCGCCTGTCCTCCCCGGCTGAAAACACAAAGGCAAAGACATTTCCTGATGGAGGCTGTGGCCCCCAAGCATTCCCTGGGAGGGGTGTTTACAACACTAGACCAGACCAGCCCAATGGGCCTGGGGGCTGCAGTGTGCCACTTCTGGGTGAACAATACAAGAACACTGACTTACAGAGAGGTGGAACACAGAACATGAACACACAGCTCTGTCTGTGGACGGGTGGCGGCACTGCTGCCACTGAGCCTGAGACACTTGCAGGGCACAGGGGATGCCAGCAGACTTACTCATTCTCCTCTTCCGTCTCACAGGGGCTCTTGGAGTCACGGGCCGCTGGTACACAGCAGTGCTCAGGCCAGAGGCGACAGCTTCAATTGTCTCATCAAGCAGAGATGACATTAGGTATCTTGGGACATGCTACACACCAAAGGGGACGGTGCCATCGCCAGGGTGGCCCATGTCCTTTGTGCCCCTCCCAGCACCCTCCCGGGCAGAGCCACCTGAGAGCCCACAGCTAGGCACAGACGAGACCTCAGCAGAGCTCTCCAACAGCAAGGGCCACGGAGAGGCAGGGACATGCCGGACACAGCGATGGCTATAATACCACCCACCCCTCCCCAGCTGGGGACCAGGGCAGGACACCACTTAAAAGCCCCAGCTGGACTCCAAACACATTCTACCCTAAGTTCATCTCACAGGCTGCAGAGCAACAGGCCTGGAATACACCCCTCGTGTCGCTTCCAGTCCAGACGTGGCAGCCAGGCCTCGGCTCCCGCAGCAGAGCACGGCCCCAGCTGTCAGGGCACCTGTGCCAGGATCCTGGATGGGGCCGCAGGCCTCACTGTCCCACATTCCCACCTGCAGTGCCGTCTAGCCCACAGCCCTATGCCATCTCAGAGGTGGCCCTGCCCCAGCTTGTTGCTTTCCCTGCAGGCAGGCAGGACGGGACAGCCCAACACGCCCCCTGCCCCGCCCCAGATGGGGGGGCCACAGGGGACATACCTGTGTGCGCTAGTCAGGCTGACCCCACGATGGGGCCCAGGCAAGGCACGGTGCTGAGGAGATCGGGACTGAAGCACCCACCTGGATCCTCCTGGCCGTGGTGATTCGGTTCCGGTTCACAGTGGCCCTCACCCGCTCACTCTGCCGTGTCCTGGCAATGGCCCGGGTCCGGCCTGTGCTAGGCCGGAGCCTGCTGGTGGTGGGCACCACATCAGCCAAGAGCAGAGAGACCTCCTCCTCACTCACATGGCCCAGATCTAGGGGAGGAGGGACACGGGCTCACATTCACAGCAGATGCACGGCAACCCTCCTGCACAGCCACAGGGCTCTGCTACCACAGGCAGGCCAGCCAGGAGCCCCCACCCTGCTCTGCCCCCGGGAATCCCTGAATGCTGGCTGGCAGGCACAGGGAGGACCAGGACAGGAGTCTGAGGAGAAACAACTGAGAGCCAGTGGGACATAGGTGCGCTCCTCCAGCTCCACCGGGAGGACGACAGGAGGCCCACAGCCCGGTACTGGCAACCCCTTGGGGACTGCCGCTCGCCTCACCAGAGCTGTCATCCAGCCCGGCACACTCCGGACAGAACCACTCGTTCACTGGCACCTCCTGGAGCGGGGGATCCAGACACTCCATGTGGTACCTGCAGGGCAGAGAACACACAGCATCAGGCACCATGCAGACCCAACAACATGCCCCCCCATAGCCGCCAACAAGCAGCCAGATGCCTCCTGCCCAGAAGACAGTAACGGAAGCCAGTCTGCCCCAAAGCCCCTCTCAGGGGGTGGAGTACCGCCCTCCCTCCTCCCCTCCTGTCTGCGTAACAGGTACAGGTGGACGTGAGCAAAGCCCTCTGACCTGGAGCCCTGACTTCCCAAACACAGCCAGGCGTGTGAGCAGACTTGCTATGGGACACGGGGCCGAGACCACGATGGGGACCACCTTGTCTCAGCTCCTGCCCGAAGCCCTCGTCTCCGGCGGCGTTCACATCCTGCCCCCGCCATCCACATCGTGACTTTCCAACCATGGCACCTCACACCTCCTAGCTCATATCTGAGTAGCTAACGAAGAAAAACTCATTGTCTGCCAAAAAGAACCTGCAGCATCACCAAACCATGGCATCTTTCCAAGTGTTTCTAGAAGTCACTTGAGGGAACAGAGGCCAGTGCCAGGCCTTTAGCTGTCTTTCCATGCAGCCCAAGTCAAGCTGCAGACCAGCTGTGCCCAAACTCGCCCGAGAGAATGCTGTGAACTAGAAGATGTCTGACAAGCCCCTGCTGAAGTTAGGCAGAAACCAACCAGGAAAGAAAGCCAAGCCAGAGTGTCCATGAAAACCAGAGCCCTGTCTCAATCCACCAGCCTGGTCTGTCACTGTGTCACATTGTGCTGGCTCATGTGTGGCTGGGAGGCTGGCAGCTATGCCACTGGTAGTTCAAATACCAGCATGATTATCCATGGGGAACAAGCTTCAGCGGAGCTTCTGGACTAAGAAAGACTAGGAAGGAAAAGGTGGTGCTCTACTTATAAAAAGAACCGGCCAGTGAAAACCTGATGAATCACAGCTGAACATTATCTGACGTAGTGCTGGAAGAAGAGCCCCTCAGGGTGGAAGGCACGCAACTTACAACTGCAAAGAGCTGCCTCCCCAAAGTAAAGTCGACCTTAATGATGCAGGTGGAGTAAAGCTTTCGGGACCTCCACGTTTGCCGATGGGGAACGACTCAAAATGGCAAGACACAGCTGCAAAATTTATTAATAATAGAAACATGGAAAGCAGAAAATATGAATCTAAGAAAACTGTAAGTTGCTGAAAATGAAATGGAACACATGAAGATCCTAGGCATGAGTGAGCTGAAACGGACTGGCATGGAAAAGGAATTAAAAAGGAATGGCATCCCATTCACGGGCAAAAACAAATCTATCTTGTAGTATAGTGTTGTCAGTGATAGGACAATATCCATACACCTACAAGGAAAACTAATTATGTTATTACTATTCCAATTTATACACCAACCATTAAAACCAAAGATGATGAAATTGTTGTCGTTGTTGTTGTTATGTGCCGTCGAGTCGGCCCCGACTCATAGCGACCCCTCTTTGGGTTTCCGAGGCAGTATCACTATGGAAGTAGGATTGCCCAACCTTCCTTCCGAGGAGTGATGAAATTAGAGGGTTTTTATTAAATGCGGTTAGTCTGAAATTACTAAACATGCAATAAAGATGCATTGATAATGACTACCGTCTAGTATAGTAACCATCACTTGTGGCAGTTAAGGTTCTGTGACAACTTGGCTGGGCCTGGCTGAGTGGCTGGGCAGTTGGCTGTAGTCGTTCCCCAGGATGAGAGCAGTCATCAACTCCATGGTGGAATCTACTGTGAGCAGCTGAGTAGCTGCCTTAGGGATGTGTCTGCTCCCAGTGTTTAAGGAGAAGCTTTAGGAATGATCTGTAGCTTTTGGCCCCCTTGAACTCCTGCATTTAGCTAAGTCATTGTCTGGCAGCCTGCCACGCTGTCTACTCATCTTGGGACTCTTAATGGACTTGAATCGATGGCCTTCTGTGTGGTTTGGTAACATTGGGACTGTGCCTTTTTACTTGTCAACCTCATGTTTGTTGGCCTCAGCAGCCAGCAGCTGCCTGAGCGAAGAAAGCCTCCAGCTCCAGTGGGCCGGGAGCAAAAGGGAGAGCTAAAGACCGAAGTCAAGGGGCTTTCATCCAGCCCCTATAGCTGGTGCTCTGAACTCGGACTTCCGGCCTCCAAAACTGAGAGAGAATACTCCTGTTGGTTACAGTCACCCATCTGTGGAATAATCTGTTAGAGCAGCACTAGATAACCAAAATTCCACACAACATAAAGAAAATGAAAATCCTCACAACTGGACCAATAAGCAGCATCACAATAAATGGAGAAAGGACTGAAGGGTCAAAGATTTCCATTTAGTCAGGCTCACAATCAACACCCATGGCAGCAGCAGACAAGAAATCAGACCATGTACTGCATTGGGTAGATCTGCTGGAAAAGACCTCATTACAGTGCTGGTGAGCAAAGATGTCACTTTGAAGACTGAGGTGCACATAACCCAAGCCATGGTATTTTTAATCACCTCATATGTATATGAAAGCGAAACAATGAATAAGGAAGACTGAAGAGTTAGTGCTTTTGAATCGTGGTGTTGGCGAAGAATACTGAAAGTACCATGGACTACCAGAAGAACGAACAAATCTGTCCTGGAAGAATTGCAGCCAGAATGCTCCCTGGAAGCAAGAATGGCCACACTTCGCTTCACACACTTTGGTCATGTTGTCAGTAGGACCATTCCCTGGAGAAGGATATCATGCTTGGTAAAGTGGAGGATCAGCAAAAAAGGGAAGACTATCAACAAGATGGACCAACAGAGTGGCTGCATTAATGGGCACAGATGTGAGGATGGCACATGACCGGGCCGTGTTTCATTCTGGTGTACACGGGGTCGCTATGAGCCGTAGCAGACTTGATGGCACCTAACAACAACAACAACAGTGATTGAAACGTGAAAGTTGGAAACTATAAAGATTGATAGTTTGGAAATATGACCTGGTGATAGAAACGATACTAGAGATTGCATGACAGATTTTTGCAAGACCAAGAATCTAATTACTGGAAATACGTTTTTTTCAACAACGTGCACAGTGACTATATACTTGGACTTCACCGGATGGAATATACAGGAACCAAATCAATCAAATGTGTGGAAAGAGATGATGGAGAAGCTCAATATCATCAGTCAGGATGAGGACAGGGGCCAACTGTAGATCAACTGCTCATACACAAGTTCAAGCTGGAAAAAATTAAAACAAGTCCACAAGAGCCAAAGTATGACCTGGAGTATATCCCTCCTGAATTCAGAAACCAGCTCAAGAACAGATTTGACACACTGAACACTAATGACCAAAGACCAGACAAGTTGTGAGCAGACATCATATATTAAAATAGGAAAAGGTCATTGAAAAGACAAAAAAAAAGAGAAAGAGCAAATGGATGACAGAAGAGACTCTGCAACTTGCCCTTGAACAGAGAGTGGCTAAAACAAACGGAACAGATGCCAAAGCAGAGGGCTGAACAGAAGACTTCAGAGGGTGGCTCAAGAAAACAAAGTGAAGTATTACAGTGAAATGTGCAAAGACCTGGGAGTAGGAAATCATCAGGGAAGAACACGCTCAGCATTTCTCAAGCTAAAAGAACTGAAGAAAAACAGTCTAGCCTTGAGTTGCAATACTGAAAGATTCTATCGGCAAAATACTGAAGGATGCAGGAAGCATCAAGGGCAGATGGAAGGAATACATAGTCACTGTACCAAAAAGACCTGGTTGACATTCAACTATTTCAGGAGGTGGCACATGATCAAGAACCAGTATCACCAGCCCAGTATGGTGGTTATCACCCAGCTAAAACTGGACAAAGACTACAAAAAGATCCTTGAGAAAGCCAAATCTTGCCATGTAGGGAAGGAAAAAGCCAAATAGAAGAAGAAACAGTTGACAAAATGCAGGAGTACAATAATTTTAAAGACAAGTTTCATTAAAAACTGCGAAAATGAGGGAAAAAAAAGAACCAATAGCACTGAAGAGAGACGTTCCACCGCACTGCACGCCCTGGTGAAACACTAGGCTCCAGGAACTGGCGGGACACCCCCTCGATGTTTCAACAGATGCAGTGCTGGAGGTGCTCGCTTGTCTGTGTGAAAAAAGTTGGAAGACAACTACCCAGCCAAACAAATGAAGAGATCCATACTGCCCACTCCAAAGAAAAGTGATTAAAAAAAATGCAGAAAACACGGAACAATGTAACTAAGATCACATGCAAATAAAATGTGGCTGTTGTTGTTGTTGTTGTTATGTGCCGTTGAGTCAGACCTGACCCATAGCGACCCCTCCTTGGGTTTCCAGGGCAGTATCACTACGGAAGTAGATTGCCCCATCTTCCTTCCGGGGAGTGGCTGGTGGGTTTGAACCGCCGGCCTTCTGGTTAGCAGTCAAGTGCCTTAGCCACTACGCTACCAGAGCTCCCAAAATGTGGCTGAAGACAATTCAAAAATGGTTATAGCAATACATCAACTGGGAACTGGAAGAAATCCAAGATGGATTCAGAAGAGGACATGGAATGAGGATTATCACTGCTGATGTCAGACAGATCTTAGCTTAAAGCAAAGAATACCAGAAAAAAACCATTTACCTGTGTTTTATCGACTACACAAAGGCATTTGACTGCGTGAATCATAACAAATTATGGATAGCATTGTAAAAAATGGGAGTTTCAAAACACTTAAATGGGCTCATGTGGAACCTGTACATAGAACAAGAGGCTGTCACTCAAATAGAACAAGGGCACACTACATGGTTTAAAATCAGGAAGGGAGTGAGTCAGGGTTGTATCCTTTTACCATACTCATTCAATCTGCATGCTGAGCAAATAATCTCAGAAGCTAGACTATATGAAGAACGTGGCATCAGGCTTAGAGGAAGACTCATTAACCACCTGCGATATGCAGATGATATAACCTTACTTGCTGAAAATGAAGAGGGCTTGAAGCACTTACTGATAGATTAAACACTACAGTTTTCAATGTGGCTCACATCTCTACATGAAGAAAAATGTTAAAGATAAACAGAAAGAGACTGAAGTGGTTAAGGATTTCATTTGATTCAGACCGACAATTGACGTCAGCCCGTGGAAGCAACAGTCAAGGAATCAAACGATGTATTCCACTGGGCAAATCTGCAAGAGATTTCTTCGAAATGTCAAAAAACAAAGATGTCATCTTTAAGACTAAGATGCACCTGACCCAAGCCATGGTATTTTCAAGCACCTCATATGCCTGTGACATATGAACAATATTGGACAATGAATAAGGAAGACCGAAAAAGAATGGACCCATTTGAATTATGAGGTTGGTGAAGAATTTCCAATAGACCACATTCTGTAATAATAAGAACAAACAAATGTCCAGCCAGGACATCCTGGATAGAGTGGGAGGAAAAACGTGGAACAAAATCCAAAAACTCAATAATGACCAGAATTACTGGTCTGATAAAGTCTGGTGAGATCCCCCAATACTATGGCCCTGGAATACATTCTGTGCCTGGAGTAGAACTCAAGCCAGGGGCTGCCTCTCAGCCCCACAGTTAACAAGATGTGCACGCAAACCACTCAACCAAGGATGATGCACCCAGATACTGTATGGTAAGACAACCCTTAGAGTAATAGACCACGGGGTACCAGAGGACCAACATTCAAACTGAGGAAATGCAGGACAAACAGGATTGCATGAATAGGAGGGGCGTGGGGGGAAGAGTTACTGGGTAGGGAGGGGAGGAGACTGGGTTGAGGTTGGACATGGTGAATGGGGAGTGAAACTAAACGTACACGTAACGTTGAATATAAAACAAGCTCTTAAAATAAAGCAAAACAAAACAAACAAAAAAGTCCAGCTAGAATGCTCCTTAGAAGCAAAGATGGGGAGAGGTCTCACGTACATTGGACATGTTATCAGGAGGGACTAGTCCCTGGAGAACCTGGTAAAGCAGAGGGGCAGCAGAAAAAAGGAAGATCTCCATGAAATGGGGAAACAGCGCCTACAACGACGAGCCCACAACGACTGTTAGGCCGGAGGCCTCGATGAAATGGGATAACAGCTCCTACGACGACGGGCCCACAGCAATGACTGTGAGGCCAGAGGCCTCGATGAAATGGGGTAACAGCACCTACAACGACAGGCCCACAAGCAACCACTGTGAGGCCGAAGGCCTTCATGAAACGGGGTAACGGCGCCTACGACGACGGGCCCACAGCAACGACTGTGAGGCCAGAGGCCTCCATGAAACGGGGTAACAGCGCCTACAACGACAGGCCCACAGCAACGACTGAGACCAGAAGCCTCCATGAAATGGGGTAACAGCGCCTACAATGACGGGCCCACAGCAGCGACTGTGAGGCCGGAGGCCTCCATGAAATGGGGTAACAGCTCCTACAACGACGGGCCCAGAGCAACGACTGTGAGGCTGGGGGCCTCGATGAAATGGGGTAACAGCGCCTACAACGATGGGCTCAGAGCAACGACTGTGAGGCCGGAGGCCTCCATGAAATGGGGTAACAGCACCTACAACGACGGGCCCAGAGCAACGACTGTGAGGCTGGCGCAGGAGCAGGCAGTGTTTCGTTCTGCTGTACCCAGGGTACATGAGCTGCAGCTGGCTCGACAGCACCTAACAACAACAACAATTGGACCCAACTGAACAAACGCAGATCACAGATCTGGAGTTGCTCCAAGACCTAGGGACACAGGGCCTGACAAGGGTAAAACCCATGCCTGCAGATCCCCATCTGTAAGCCACTGTATGAAGTCCAGCCCCTGCCAGTACCCTGCGAAAGGCAGAAGATGGGCCTGTGTAGAGGGATGAGGGCCCTCCCAGCATACAAATGCTTCACGCTCATGGCGGCACTGGACACGGACGGAGTCCTGAAGGAACCAGGTACACCTGCTCTAAGAAATCTTTCCTCACTCTCTCTCCTTTCCTCTTCTCTTTCCCCCCAACTCTCCCCCCCAACAAAAAGTCAAGGAGAAAGCAGTGGTTCTCTGTAAAGATCTCAAGAATCCAGTGTGCCCCCAAGGCTCCTGGCCCAGAACTTCCAGAGCATCCCGGCTGCTGCCAGGGTCCTGACAAGGTCTCCCTGCAAGACCCGTCCATGGCCACCACCCTGCTTACTTCAGAGGAGAAACGGCAGACCACATAGAGTACGTGGGCCCGGTTGACCACTGGACTCCACACAGGCATCCACGCTGAGTAGTACCTACACCTGACCCTGGGACAGAAGCACCAAGGTATCGACCACCCATTCATGGAGTCACAGGGGAGCAAGCAGGGCAGCTCACTATAGGACAGGCAGCTGGGTACATTTGCGTTGGCCTATGGGAGGGTAACCGGAGAGAACAGTGTGTTAAGAAGCCATGCTACAACGTGCAGACGAGCTGGAAGGAGCTGAGGAGAGCTGGCATACATGGCGCTGCAGACTAAGCAGCAAGGCCTGAGGAGACAGCAGGCAGTAATGGAACTCGGCAGGGGGACAGTGGCAGAGGAATCCACCAACTGAGGTGGCCACAGGGGAAGAGGGCAGCACGGCTGCCGGGCTCCAGCCCTCCCAGGTGTGCTTTCCCACAATGCCCTTGGCCTCCTGCTCTTGGCTATTGTGCAGCCTGATCCCTTCAAATGATCATTTTCTGCCCAAAAGCAAGTTCTAGATCTACCAGCCTCACTGCTTTCTCTCAACAGCTTTGCAGGACCCAGACCCCTAGGCAAAGGGTTCTCATGATCCTCGTGCCAGAATTTTACAACAGGAAGACTCCAAACGTACAGTGAGAACAAGATTATGGGGAGAGGACCAGACAACAGGGAAGGGTCGACAGAAACCGAGAAGCCCAGCAAGGACTGAGACCTGGGAGGCCAGTGCCACTGGGGAGCATGACCACAGCCATAGCTCCAGCCCCCTCTGCAAAACTCAAACTCCTTCTTGGAGAAAAGTGAGGCAGTATCACCCTTGTAATAACAGAACCTACGGCTGACACCCACCTAGCACCACTCAGCGAGGAGAGGCCGTGCACCCTACAGGGAGCGGCGTACATTTATAAGCACAAAATAACAGACGTCACGTGGAGGAGGTGCACTTAAAGTCCTCCCCAGAGCTGTCACAGACAACACCTTATCCCCCCACAGAGCAAGACAGCGCACCCCACCTGGTACGCGCTCGCTGCCTAGTCAATGTGGCCCCAAGGGCGGCCCGCTTACCCGGCATCGCAGCCATCACAGAGGAGGAGGCGGTCCTCCCGGTCACTGCGGCCACACACTTCACAGAACGTGGGATCCTCCTCCTCAGCCTCAGGGGCTCTGGTGTTCTCCACTGGGACCTGCAGGGAGAAGGGCACTGAACCCGTATATGGAGCCTGGGGCCGGCCACAAAAGCAGCTCTGGAAACACTATGCGGGCCAGGAGCCCCAGTATCTGTGGTTAAGAAGGCACCTAGATACAAGCGAAGTGTTTGGCTCCAGAAAGCCCACAGCCATCTCAGTCTCCAGTGGCCAGCACACACCAAGGATCTCCACAACGCAAAGGGAGACGTGCCACCGCCTTATTCCAGGCCCACGTGCAAAGGATGGGGTCCAAAGAGAGCTGCCCCACCCAATGCCGCCACAGCTCAAGAGGGCGGGCCAGGGGGAAGAGGAGATGGGAGTGCAATCAAGGAAGCCTGAGAAGCTGCCGCATCTACACCCACCAGCCAGACCCTGCTGCCTCCCACCTGGGGCCTCCCATTTGGGGCCCACAGGACCAGCAGAGAGCATGGCAGCTCAAGTGCCAACATCATGATTCAGGCTTCAAGTTCATGGTTGGAGAGTTTGAAATGACTAAACCGTTTTAATCAAACGGTTCCTGAAATCAAATCAACATTTTAACGCATGCGATTTCCCATAAGACAGGCAGCGATGTGACAAACTCCAGACCGGGGCCTCCTATGCAGCGTGTGCACTCACCTTTCTCAAGACTTTCCCACCAAACTGGGCGCGGACACAAATGCACCTGAATACTGTCCGGTCCACTGGGCAGGAGTTGGCGTTCTGCAAAGCAAGATCACAGCCTAGTACCACAGGGTGCCTCATCAATATTATGTTCAACTAAAGAACCCACCTCAAGGCCCCAAACCCCTCTACACAGAAAACCACTCACCCCTGAGTGTCATCTCTGCATGACCCTGGGCCTGAGCCCCTGCACCCAGTGTGGGTGCCAGCCACCCAGTTCTGTGTGTCCAGCAGACATCAGGCCTCAGACCTGTCCCATGGGCCTCCTTCCTGTACCAACGGCACTTACACCACTCCCACTTTATAAATGTAAAGTCCAGTTTGCTGACTTCTTCCTTTTTCCAATCATCTTGGCGGTTCCTGATGCTGTCACCCTCCCAGGTGGATTTCGTGGGCTGTCAGGTGCTCTGAAGGTGCTGTGTAACACTGATGGACCTGCTCTCAAACTGCTGCCTGTGTGACTTCCCTCCCACTCGGCCACAGGGGTTGAGAAGAGCCCTTTGGCTGTCTCACCTCTCTAACTCATGTCCAGCCATCCTGTTGGGCTCAGCATTCCAATAGTTCACCTGCGTGAACTCATCTGCAAACATCATCTTTTCCTACCTAACACCTATGCTTATGTTTGTCCTATGTTAACCCAACATGATGTATCCTGGGAAACACATGGCGATGCCTTTCTCTCCTTAAAGAAAATTCTTCACTCGCCATAGAAAAAGTTTGAGCCTGATAACCTGAGGTCTAAATCTCTCCTCACCAAGCAGGAACCATGGGGGAGAAGAGCTTCAGCCAGCCTCTGGGCTGTCAGCTGACAGACGGAGCCACATGCACCCACATTTCTGAGCTCTGGGGGAGCCAGATCCAAGCCTGGGTACTTAAGGGTATAGCCCTGTTGTCAGTGATGTGGGCTATGACATCGGGAGCATGATGGAGAGGGCTCCAATCTGTAAGCGATCTACCTCTAGGCTGGGAAGGAGCGGAGTGGGGATAAATTGAGGAGGTAGGGCCAATGTTGTGTGAAGCTGGGCGGCCAGTCCGCAGGGCACTCCCCACGCATGCTGGTGCAACGCCAGTTCTCTGAGATTGCTTGCAGTAAATGTTTTACAAAGCAGGGGCCAGAGCCTGCTGCCAGGAGTGCATCATGGATGGGAAACAGATGCGTGTTTCTGGTCAGTCCCGTGTCAGTTCAAAGACAGGCCCTCACTGCTGGTCACCACAGTCACATGTGACGACAGCTGACATACCCCGTACCTCCTCAGACAGTCACACTCTGAGGCAGAAAGTAGCCCTGATACCAGCACACCCTGCGCCCAGGGGCCTGCCTGGATGGTGTGACTGTCTGAGGCGGCAGCAGCTGGCTCAGGTCACTCGTGGCTCCTTTAGGATCTCTGTGGCCAAGTCCCTGTGTAAGCCTTGCCCACGGCCCAGAGAGCAGACAGATAGGCAGCACCCCACTGAGGCTCCCCCAGGGCTCCAACATCAGCCTCCCAAAACAGTAGCAGAGCCAACAAGAGGCTGGCACAGCCAGGTCACCTGCAGCAAGGAAGGTAGTAGGGCACTCACCTTGGACCACTCCACTATGCAGTCCAGGCAGAAGTAGTGGGTACAAGTCTCCGGGGTCCCCACGGCCTGGTCTCGAAACACATTGAGACAAATCGGGCAGCTTTCAGCTTCCTCATCCGAGCTGAGCCCTCTGTCTGCTCCTACTTTCCTCTTTTGAGTGTCAGCCACCGAGGCCTCCACGTCTTCTTCCTCCGAGTCTTCAGATTCTGAGGACAGAACACTGCCACCTTAGTGGACAAACCAAAGGAGCACTGCTCAGTGAGGAAGGACCAGGTGGCCCGGCTGCCACTGTGCTCTCAGGATGGCCGACTTCCAATGCCAAGGCCCTGCCCAGGCAAGTGTATGAGCACATGGCGTTGGCCAGCATGCACATCCACCCTCAAGGGCCAGAGCCACAGCAGTAGCCCCACTCACCAACCAGAGCAGCACCCAGCAAAGCCCTCTGTGCAGCCTTAATGCTGGCACCTGCCTGGCCCCAGCTCCTTTACCCCACACCCCAGAGTGGCGTCAACGCCCCTGATCCCAGATGGGGCCATGGCCCGGTGAGACTAAGCAGAGGACCTGGCTGGCCAACAATGGACTCTTGGCCCCGGACAACATGAGATACGCAGTGTGCTGTTTCCAGCCACTAACTTGCAGTGATTGCTTCACAGCACGACAGCGAACAGAGAGGCACAAGACTCAGGAGGGCAGGGGGTCTGCTCAGCCACGTGCCAGAGCCAGGTGGAAGCCAGATGGCCTAACACTTCCTGTGTGTTTCTGGAAGGCTCAGGGCTGTGGCCCAGGACTGAAGCGGGTAATGGGTGAGAGAGCAGGGATGCCCTCAGAGTCCCAGGCCAGACACCTGCCCCCACCCCATGCCGTGACCAAAGGGTCACTCTACAGAAAGGGAGAGAGGAACATACAGACTGCAGACAGATTAGGGATGCTGTGACTCTGAACAAGACCACGTCCTCCCTGGGCCATCCCAGAACAGTGGCTGAGGGACAAAAGTTCAAAGAGACACAGGTCATCAGAGAGCTGGGTCCCCAGGACCAACTGCAGTCCCAAGGCACGATAAAGGACAGGAAACTAAAAGCAAAGGCATGAGGCAACGTGTCGCCTTGGAGTCACCCCAACAGGCCAGGGAGTCAGCACTCCAACAGCTGACCCTACAAGGAGTTGCTCCCCACGTCCTAGATGCTGTGGCACCTGGCTCTCACTGGGAGGATACCTGCTGCTTTGTGTCATCCAAACGAACTCTGCAATAGGGACTGCAAAAAAGGGGGCCACCATCCCCAATGCTGCCATCCTCACCATGTGTCCCTACACGACAGGGGGCCAGGGAACAAGGCAAGTGGGCCGAGGACCCCCACTCGTCACACTTCGAGCATTCAATCCCTTACCAGATCTGTCTTCCAGGTACTCCTCCCCAGACGCCCCCTCCTCGTCCTCTTCTGTGCTGTCCCTCTGCTCACTGCCCATGTCGTCCCCAGAGTCCTCACTGCTTCCATCACAGCTTTGTTCTAGACCGAAAGATGAGAACACAGGCCTGGGACAATTGACGGGTGAGAACACATGCCCGGGGCGACCAATGGGTGAGAACAACGCACAGCCAGGCACTCAGGAGGACACCTGCCAGAGGCCCCCCGCGCTGCCTGGGTAAGGCTGGACAGAGCAGGGAAGGCTGTTGGCAAACATGTTCTACACTACGGCCACTGCGTTGCTTGCAGTGAATATAAAATAGGGCTCGCTGCTGCTGCGAGGGAGCTCTGGTGGCATAGTGCCTAAGGCATCTGACTGCTCACCAGAAGGCTGGCAGTTCAAACCCACCAGCCACTCCTCAGAAGGAAGGTTGGGCAATCTACTTCTGTAGTGATATCGCCTGGGAAACCCAAGGAGGGATCACTATGAGTCAAAATCAACTCGATGGCAGTGAGTTTGTTTGTTTGTTTACTTCTGCAAGTTAAAGGCAGAGGAATCTTTTCAAAACATAGAAACTTAGAAGTCTGAACGTGCAGACAGCCCCTCAAGGGAACTCAGCTGCCTCAAGTGACAGGAGCACCCTTCCCACCTCCAGGCCTACAGCCCACACTGGGTGGAAGGGCCAAGGCTAGCTCACCAGTGTCACTGGCCAGGGCAGCAAGGCTGGGCTGCAGGTGTCTACCCGACCCTGCGCTCCGCTCTGCAAGCTCGTCCAGGCTGTCCTCATCCATGACTGGGCATCGGAGTTCACCTCTGGAAGAAAGTAGATCCCAACAATTTCCAGAGTGTCCCCAGGTTCCCACTAGTCCGGTCCCAGGTGACATGCTGTCCACGTCTGTATGGCTGAGGAGGCACAGCTGCTGAGCTGTCACAGGTACCAGTCGCACACAGATGCAAAAAGGCCACGACTTTCCGTTATAGAGCCCTGTTCACAGCAGGGGAGCTCTGGTGGCGTAGTGCCTAAGGCATTATTTGACTGTTAACCAGAAGGCTGGCAGTTCAAACCCACCAGCTAATCCCTGGAAGGCTGGTTGGGCATCAACTTCCATAGTGATACCGCCTCAGAAACCCAAGGAGGGGTTGCTATGAGTTGGACCCAACTCAATGGCAGTGAGTTTTGTTTTTTGGTTTTTTTTTTTTGTTCACAGCAAGGAGTCATTCGGCCAGCCCCCTAATTAAAACGAACCTGACTTAGTCTGTGACTGGAGACATTCCTGAGCCCAGGCAGACACCTGTAGCAGCACCTCAAGATGCAGCACAAACCCACTGAAGGCGTTAAGAAAACGGACAACACCGGTTGATCCCAGGGAATCACAGCAGGACTCTTGCAACAAGAGGGCACTGAGGGGCCCAGTGGCTGAATGGGACCCTCCCTCAACACTGCAATGTGCCACTTCCAGGCAGTGAGGGGCCAGGCCCTGTCTCTGCTCACCTGGCCACCATCAGCAGTGACACCAGGCCCAGCCCACATTGTGCCCAGAGTCCCCACAACACCTAGATCAGGCAGCATGTCAGGCAGCAGGACCCCAGTCCCCATCTCAGAGCCACACTCCCTGCAGGTCTGTCCTGCCCACTCAGCACAGTCGCTATATGGATACCAACAGCCTCACTGACCTGGCACAAAACAGTCCTCTTCCCAGGACTCACACCTTCCACACAAGATCCTCAACTTCGGTCGCTAAATAAGACCCAATCAGCACACACGGTTCCTCTCTCATCAAACTGCCCTCCAGTGTTTCTTAGACATCCTCAGCACGACTCACTGGGGGTGCCAGTGACTCAGTGTCCCTGGCACCACGTGCTCCTCACCAGGGCTGTGGTCAGCAGGGAGGACACAGGCCACTGAGGGCAGAGAGCGGCCCAGCAAGAGGCAGGACTGCGGGTCAGGCCGAGGCACCAAGCCACGGGCTGCTGGGAAGGAGTGCGCCTCAGTGCTGCGGCTCCTCTCCCCCACCTTGCTCTCCTTCCCCAGCCCAGCTGACCCAGGCCTCCAGGAGGACACAGATCCACACGTGGTAGGGGCACAAGTGCACGGCGGCAGGACACTAGTCACTGGTCCAGAGAAGGCACACCACACACATTCTACTCCCATCTGTCCTATACTTTGAAGAATCCAAATCTCCTCCACTGTAGCTCAGGGGCATGTGAGAGCGCAAGTGAGCCTGGAAGCCAGAGCACATGTCTTCCCGCCACAGCTGGCAGGTCACCCTGCAGGGCAGCCAGCTGAGTCCAGGGGGCTGCTGTGGCCATAGGGTCCAGGATGGTGGCCTGGGATGCCTGGAGTGCCAGCACCTCTCGGCAGAGGGCACAGGCCCCAAGTCACTAAGAACTCTGACACTGCTGACACTGCCGACACCAGACTCCCTTACCCAAGTGAGCACCCAAAACGCTGAAGGGCAAAGACACACTCCCAGTACAGGGCCCCGACCAGCCCCATCATACTCTTATCTGGAAACACACGCAGCACGCTGGCCACCTGCTGGTCCCATGGAGAAGTGACCAGATGTGCTGGTGACAAGGCCATCTAAGAAGCAGGTGCATGGCACCCTAGCACTTTCTCACGACGCCCACTCTGGTAAGGTCTCCTGTGGGGTGCGTGGACATGAGGCCTGCCATCATCTAACTCTGGCATGGCTGTAACCACTCCCATGAGGAGGCTGCATGGGGCCACTCACTATAGCATCTACCCTGCCCTAAGAGCAAAAGGCGTGCGTGCTCTCTGCCTGCAGAAACACATGGTGGGAAATGGTCATTTACACGAATGCTTTAAGACACCAGCAAATGTCGCCCAAGGCCACTGAGGGGTCTGACCACGAGTGCAAACCTCACTCTGAGGACGTGTCACATTTACAAGCTCAATGGCATGGACAAATGATTCCTGGATTCTCCCTGCTGCACTTCGACCGGGGGCCAGGCCCTCCACCTGTGCGGGGGCAGCGGCAGGGCCTGTCTCAGGGCTGCCAGGAGAGGGGAGGCCCGTCTGCTCCACAGCAGAGCTCAGGGTATGCAAGCTGCACTGGCACCCTCCCAGATCATCTGAACACAGCCGTGGCAGCAGCCACAGGCCCTCCTCGCCAGGGCCGGGGAGACCCCCGGTCACCTCTGAAGGGGCCCTGGAGAGCAAACACCACGGCACAAACCTCAAGGAAGAGACCGTGACCTGGGATGAGCGGCCACCTTAGCTTCATCGGAAACCCAGCAGGTGCCACCTGCAGCCCCAGCTCCTCCCCAGGGCCAGCAAGCTGTTTCTATAGGAAAGCCAGGTGTCACCGGCTGCCCTGCTGAACATGCTGGAAACGTCCTGCCTGGCCTCCCCATTTTGGGGAGACAAACCCCCCAGAAAGCACACTCTCCTTCTCTTTTCACGTTCAGAGACCCTGAAGCACTAGCACAGTTGCAACTATCACTGTGGAATTGCAGGCTGCAGCAAAGGGTAACCAGCAGCTGTGCCGGACCGGAACCATGGGTCCTCACGGTACAGGGAGCAAGCCCACAGGCAGCCTGGCTGCCACGTCTGTCACTTGACTCACCCGCTGGCCCACAGAGTACTACAACACCGCCAATGGGAGAAGCCACACAGGCCTTCCAAGGGCTCAGAGGAGGACCCCCCCCAGTGCACCCTGGGGTGCAGGTCTGCGGGCATGAGCGCCAGGCCGGAAGTGCTGGGTCTCACCGGGAGCCTGGTGACAGCGCCCACTGGAAAAGCGCAGGCTGCTCTTATGCAAACTCAAAATGCTTTCCACTAAAAAACAAACCCCGACTGGCCTGCGGCAGAGGAAAGGTGTGCTGAGCGCCCCGCAAACGTCACTGCAGCCTCAAGACCCGTCCTGGGAACCGGATGCCAGCTTCTGACCATCACATAGCTTGCCGAGCGCTAGAAGCGGGAATGTAAACTGCGAAGTGAGCATGGTTGTAGAAGGAGCCAGTGAAAACCAGAAGGAAGGCGGCGGCCGAGGCCGGCGAGCCCCGCGCCCGGCTCGGCTCGGCCACTGCGGGCTGCGCGGCGCGGGCCACTTACTCGACCTCTCTGGGCGCCAACGCCTTCATCCGGAAGCAGCAGGCAGGGGCCCGCTCCCGAGGGTAGTGCGCGGGCGACGAGAGTTACGGGACGCGACGAGCGTCCACCACGCAGGCCGGCGGCAACGCTGACGAAGCCGACCGAAGCAAAGACGAACCGGAGCTGGAAACCAGTGAGCCAAGAGTCACCCAGTCACCGGTGCCACAGAGCCGCGCGAGGCGCCGCCACCGCGTCCCCCGCGAGCCCGGGACCCGAAGGCGCCGGCCTCAGAAGGCGGGCCGAGGGCC